CACCTTACCTAGAGATCTAATGATGGTTGAAGATTTCTAAAGATAAATCTGCAGCAAAGTTCCTCGGTAAGCTTGTTTCCAAAATGCAGCACAAGCAGGATTTCAAATGTAAATCTACCGTCACTAGACGCCATCTTGGATTTAGGTAACCTTTCCTTTTGTATATCACCCATTCTAGTGTCCTCTTTGTAGCTCATGCGAATTTTGCAGGCTCATTTTTAGTCACGTTTGTGAACATGATATGTCTACCGCGTAAGCTCATTTGGATCTAAAATGAGCGAGGAAATTCATCGAAGCATGGAAAGTGATAGCAGTGCTCTTTTTGATCAGTTAAACTATTGTTACAGCACTTCCTCGGTCGAAGATATTTTAACGTTTGCTTATGCATTGGACGAAAAATATGTTGAACAAATAGTCCATTAGACGACTTCAATTCAATGGCCACGTGGGTCTACTGGCAGGTGAAATGGCAATGGCACTGGTTCCCGAAGCGGTGCCTCTGCAGCCAGAAGAACATTTAGTGGCTGTGAAAACTACGGGCAATGATGACTGTCTGTATAACGCTGTGTCGTTGGTTATGGATGGTACGGAATCGAATATAAGCCTTCTTCGTTTACTCGTGGCCCTGGAACTCCCGTTGAACATGGACTTCTACATCCAACATCCAAGACTTACCTCGTTTTCCAACACTGATTCTCACACATATGATGCACGATCCTCGCAGTAGATAGCGCTATTTATGCAATAGCGAAAATCAGACCTGAGAAAAATCAGGCCTGTACAGGACTCGAACCGCTGACCTCTGCGATACCAGTGCAGTGCTCTACCAATTGAGCTAACAAGCCAACTGGGAGCAGGTCGTTAAGTTGATTCGTAACAAACCCGTGAAAGTGATAAATGAGATACAATGAAATATATGAGGTTCATATATTTTTTACTGCGGTACTAGATACATATGATGCACGATCCTCGCAGTAGATAGCGCTATTTAAGCAATAGCAAAAATCAGACCTGAAAAAAATTAGGTCTGTACGGGATTTGAACCACTGACCTCTGCGATACTAGTGCAGTGCTCTACCAATTGAGCTAACAAGCCAACTGGGAGCAGGTCGTTAAGTTGATTCGTAACAAACCCGTGAAAGTGATAAATGAGATACAATGAAATATATGAAGTTCATATATTTTGTACTGCGGTATTAGATACATATGATGCACGATCCTCGCAGTAGATAGCGCTATTTAAGCAATAGC